GCGCTGTTAAGAAATGGAGAAGAAGGGTAAACGACCATCCGTCATCATGCAAACACGTAAGCAAATGAAGGAAAATAGGTGCAATAATAATAATAAAAAAAGAAAAACTACGTTAGTCGATAAGACAAACATTCAATGAAAAAAGTGTCTTGTCTTTATTCATTTTTTTTCTTTACTTTGATGATCGATTATTTTCTATTGTTTACACATACTCAATGCCGGGAGTGAATGATGATGATGAAAAAGGAGAAGACGAAGACGAAGAAAAAGAAGAAGAAGAAGGAAAATACGATATATAGACATAGACAAAGAAATACAACAATAAGTACAAACAAACATGCAACGAACAACAGCATTTATTATAAACCGTATCACACACACATTCCCTTAGAGTATATATGTTCAACATTTATATATACACAGACATAATGCAATATATGTAATATTATTCGCGCATAGAAAAATTTTATAAATTTTTTTTAACTACATGCGATAAATATATATGTTTTTTTTTTCTAATATGCATAAACTCATTCTCAAAAAATCGTTTCATGCTTTTTATCTTTGCTTACATTATTGATTTCTCGATTCATTTTGAGCTAGAAAAGTTGTTTTCTTAGTCTTAATTCTATGAGTTAATAGAGATATTTCTAAATTTATTTACCTTCATTAACAATGGAAGATTCAATTGGTGATGTTGTTTCGAGATTATCTAAAATAAACAATAAATAAGTTTCCGTTTTCATTCACTCTATATAAATTGATATAATAACAATCAAATCAATATTTAACATGCGCACACACATCATACGCAAACCTTATTGATGGTATTGAGCATGATTATCTGTAAGATAGGTCATATCACATCCATCAATGGGTTCGGTACTATCATCTTGAAGTACTTCGATTATAGGCGTTGACGCTATGGGATATAAAAAGAGTTCTTTTTCTTTTTTTTTTGTTGAAAAAAACAAAAAGCATTTTTTTTTTGAGAGAAGCAAATTGGTTTTGCCATGCCATTCGAGGAGGAAAAGGAAAGGGAAGAGGAAGGTAAAAAGACATGCCAGGAATAAACGAACATGTCCGTGCTTGGTAGACGTCTTCTTTTTTTCTTCTACCTTCTGATAATCTATCAATAGTATTGTGATCGTCATCATCATCATCATCACTTATATCCGAATTAACACGCTGTAATGGTGTTGATGTACCATCAGCATCAAATGTACTAACTGCTGATACATATGTTGGAGTAGTTGTAGATGAAATAGTTTCTAAACTTTCATAAATAGTAGTCATTGATGATGACGATGGCGATGATGATAAAGGAAGTGAAGATGGTGTGATTTGTGTTCGTTGATTATCATCATAGGAACTTCCGTATGATTCATGTAAATTATCATAATCAGATAGAAATGAATGAGTTGATGTTGTATTAGAAGTATTTTGTGAAAAAAATACTGTATTATCATTATTTGTCATAATCTTTGAGTCTAAATGATTTTGTTTACTAGTCATAGATTCAACAGATTCTGACTGATTACTATTTAGTTCATCATCGAGATTCGTAATTGTATTTGTTGATGAAACTAAACTTGGTGATGTACTAACTACAGTTATAGAAGTTTTAAATGATGGTGTTGATGTTCGTGTAACAATTTCACGTAATGGTGAAATTAGTTTTGGTGAATTTGTCGAATTATTAGATTCCGAATTTAGTATAAGATGCATTGACGGACGTAAAATAGACTGAGTAGGCGATATATTAGTTGTAATTATAGAATGCGGAAATGATGAAGTACTATTAGAAGACGTTTTATTAGTTTGTTGCTCTTCAACTTGATCGTTATTTATTGCTTTATTTTGTTCTTTTAAATCTCGTTGAATTTCTTCTAAAATATTTTTTGCTATATTCGTCGCTAAATGAATAATATTATTTGAAAGTATTTCATCGAGAGATTGTTCTAATGACGATGAACATATTTTAATTATCAATGGTTTATCAATTTCATAATTAAAAGTTTTGATTATTATTGGTGTATCAGTATTCATTGCAATCCGACTTGGTTCAACAGAAAATGTTTCAATATTTTTTAGGATTTGTTCATTACTTGTATTTAATGCTGATGTTTCACGTAATAAATTCTTATCATTATCATCTTGTGATACAGTACCACCAAATGTATCCGCAAGATTTAAAATTTTTTTAACAACATGATCTGTTTCATGTATTAAACTTTGACTACTATATACAGAAAAATGTCTTGGTGGTTTTGCTGGCGGTATTGTCGCAGCATCAATAATTGATGATGATGAATCAGATTCATCATTTTGTCGTGGTGGTTTTGTTGGTGGTGGTGTTAATGCGATTAAACTTGTTGATTCATATGAATCAACTGATATTTCATTGAATTGTTGTTGATCAGAAAATGATGATGGATTAGAAAATGAATGTAGATATGGTTGATATGAACTTGTTACTTGTTGTTCCATAGGAGGATTTGTATCATAGGATTTTTTTTTTGACATCGATTTTTTTATTGGATTAACAACGGCATGTTTAAGTGCATGAGCTAATGCACGTGCTTGCTCCGGAATATTTTTCGACTTTATAAAACGTTCACCTACAGGTGTTTGATTAACACAAGTAGGTGCTGGAAAAAGAATTAAATATTAAAAAAGGAAAACTATATATAGGAGATAATCTATTCTCTTTTTTTTTTGTTATTTACTACTTACGAATATCATCAAGTATTTGAGAAGTTTGTTCAGCTAATTGTTGAACTGCTGTTGGTTTTTGTGAATCATCAATTGATGGAATAATTAAATGTTCATCTGGAAAAATAGGTGTTGCTTCTTGAACAATATTAACAAGACCAAAAGGTGCTGGTTTTTTTGATGATTTTTTTGATGAAAATTCTAAAAATATTTAATCATTATTTATTCCATATATATACGATTATTTTACTTAAAATCCGACGTTTTTTTTTGAATAAACCACAACATAAAGTTCGATTTCTATTTAAACAGGGTAGTGGCATGTCTAATCGATTAGTATTCTAATGCTTAATTATATAGAAATAGTTAGTCGAGGCAAGCAAATCTTTTCTTTTTTTTTTTTTTTCTATGCCAGATGTGCATTCATATCAAGCATTTGCTTATATATCACCAATAGATTATAGAGAAAAAACAGATCAGACTCGTTTATCTTGCTTTTTTTCTCTTTATCTTATGGAAAAAAGAAGATATTGACAAGAGAATGAGATATTGATAATGCAAAGATTTTCTTTTACTATCGAAACTAAGAAAAACAATGACACGCATTCATATATTCACCTTGTAAATGAATGGTAAACATATTTAGATTGATAATCATAAGAAGATTATATGTATAAATAATTATTTTATTTACAGAAATAAGATACGTAATTTAGAAAATTGTTTTTAATGAAATCATATTGATTTTTATTAAACTAACATTGAAAAGTTTATCGATCTATATATATATGTTTTTGGGTAATCTTGTAATCTTTAGTTAAATAATTTACATCTCATGCATTACTAGTATTCAATGTCATATTTGAACATGAGAATGCTTTTCTATGACCTTCATGCTTTCATTAGGAAGTAGCATGAAATATTATATGACTATTACTATATAAACATATAACTATGGCATTCATATATATATATATATATATTCAAGGAATATTTAGTATAGAAAAGATTCATTATAAATACAAAAGAAAAAGTTTTTTTCTGGAGCATTATCTAATCATTTAATTTAACGGTTACATTCATTCTATTATTATTCAATGTTTAAACAATCATTTGAAATACCAGTTGCTATTGTCAAACATTTCCGTTTTTTTATATTCTCTACAATGTCAATCATTACGTCAAGTACAAAATTGCCCTTTTCTTGACCTTTATTATAAAGAGACGACGACGAAGAAAAAAGAAGAAGAAGAAGAAGTCTAATTTATACTTGTATTCGTACTGCAAGTTCCATTCTAATTATCTTAACAAAGTATATATATTAGATATGTGACATACCCGAATTAGCTGTTGGTGTTGTACGTCCTTCATTCATATTAATATTTTGTTGTTTCGATGATGTATTATATGGATCATCAAGATCAGCTAAACAAAAGATAAAAACGTTTTTTAGATAAATATATCAAGGAAAAATATATTAAATAAAAACAAAAGATAGATAGATACATATACATAGCATTTCATGCTTCAATTCAAAACACAACAAACAAACAAATAGAGAAAGACAAAAACCTTTATCGTATGATAATCTATTTAATTTTTCTTTTAAACTTTCAAAATGCATTGTTTCAAATAGATGAGAATGACAACTTAATGGTGTTATTGAACCTGAATAGTTTTGATGTTGATAGATTGAAATATATGCACCACCAGAACGTGATACTGGTGTAGCTGCTTTACTCGAATCAACAAAATGTAAAAAACCATCATGTTCACCTTTAAATACAAAACAACAAC